TATCGCTATACATTTTTGTTAATAAATAAATTTTACATAAAAAACTTGTCAAAAATGTCTATCAAATATTTTTACAAAAAGTTAAATTATAATACAGTCATACCTCTATAAAATCTATAATTAATTTCTTATATAAAGAGAAATTTTTAATATACTTTATAATGATAAGTTGGTTCTCAAAGAGTTGTTCTTATTTAAAATTGCTCTCATATAGCGTGTTCTTATATAGAGGCACGATTGTATCTACTAACATAATGACGAATAGAGAGTGTATCAATTTTTTGAAATAACTTGAAATACTTCATATTCATCAGCATGGAATAATTCCGATGTATCAACAATACTCTTTTCATATTGTCGTCGTTGGCACTGACAACTTCCCGGTTCATTGAATGGATGTCCACTCAAGCCCATCACCAAATCCATATAGCCAAACTTTGGACCACGATAATGATTCTCACAAATAGCACATTCGGCATTCTGCACGCGACTCAGCATCAAATGCGCCAGATTGATCCCATCACCAAGCGAAAACAGAAAACTTTGTGTTGTATTAACCCATCCTTTATCCGTGTATCCCCAGTGAATTGGATTGTAGCCACCAATTAATTGAGATGTGCCATGTATTTTGAGAATAACGACAGTCGAGCCTTGATTGTTACATCGTTCTCTAAATGTTTTTGGCGAGAATCCATCGCGTGTTCCTCGAAGTAATGTTGTGAATTTGTATGGCGAGTCGGCGGGAGTGTAATAGTGTAGAGGATCGCGACGGTCTATCCAACTTGAAATTATGCTAGCGTGTTGTATATTTATCAGGGTTGATTGAATTTCTCCACGTGAGGGAAGAAGTGGGCCGATTTTTGGTTTGGATCCGGGAATTAGAATGGTACGAAGCGTGTCTTCAAAGATTTCATCGGGGATAATTTTACGATACGGGCGAATGTAAGTATAAAAATCTGCCGAATTTATATGCGCAAATCGAATCAGCGGAATAAAATTTCGCAAGGTTTTCTCTAAATTTTGCCAATCTTCGGATGTCCACTTTTCCATTCGCTCAGACTTCAACTTTGAATTCCGCACGACTCCCCATTTTATTACATGTTTCCAGATGTCAATCTCCTCCAACAGCAGATCATCGCGTCCCAGTAACGAGAACAGGAGATTTTGATCGATTGTGGTAAAGTCTTCCGAATTGAATAAACTTTGTGGATCATGGCTGATTTTTTCTAGACAAAATTGTTGTAATTTTTTGAAAGATTCTGATTTGAATACCGTTCGATGCACAAGCACGAAGTTTTTCTTTAGCCATTCAGATTTTTGATAAAGTAGGTGTGTTTCTACACGCGATAAAAGTTCTGTTAATCCCAGCTCGTCAGCTGCTACCAATAAATTGAGAATATCTTCGGCGCCTTTTAAAGTATCCCATGCTAATCCACCTGTATAAATAAATCTATAAATTTGGTTAAATCGAGAATAAAAATACTGCAGAGAAAAAAGAATGAGTGTTTACCTTAAAACAACTTCGAAGATCCTTGGTGAAATGTTCGGTTTCAATAAAATTAACTTGTCTCCTTCACTTTTCGCCCAATCCTTTGATAATGCTGCACGAAAATAACTTGACCTTGCCCTTAATACCACCGAATGAGCATCAAAAACTCGATAATCTGGTTCTTGGCCAACTTTAATTTTTACATTATAATCATCCGAACTTTCCAATAATCGAGAAAAATCCTCGCATAAAGAAGATAAAAAATATTCGATTGTCATTTTTTGTTTTTGATGCAATAATAATAAGAATAAGAATAAGGATAAGGATAATAACAATAACAATAATAATAATAATAATAAATAAAAAGATCGAAGCGATTGATGTTATTTAGGCAAGTTTTTCTTTACTATAAAGAGGAATAAGAAAATGATCAAACGGAAAGGTTCAACTATTTAATGTAATGAAATATCAAAAACATCTAATCGCGCGTAATTACGGACATACAATGGAAAGAGATACAAGCGGTACATTGTAACTATAAATAAGTTTATACAGTACATGTAAGCACATATTTGTATTTATACGAATTGCCAGTAGCTATACTGTACATAAAAATTTCTTTGTTCAGAGAGTATAAAACGATCGTACTAAATGTGTCAATGAATGGTGAAAGTTTTTTATTTTCTGGCCTCGTGGCATGTATTATGTGTGTTGCAGCAACGTGGTTTTGCAGCACAAGATACATATAAAGGATACATCAACGGTTGGTGTTCTTGTGTCATACTGATTTTCAAATTCACATCAATGACGATAACGATAAGTATATTTCGGAGGTTGCTTTGAATTAAATATTTATGAAAAAAAATCGTGATTGTTCTGTTCAAAATGTGACACTTTATTTGGATCATAGTTTTTTGAATAAATGATCCTGATTTTTAGACAATTACTTCGGCAATTCCGTGTCGGAATAGAGCAAGAATTAAAAATTAATCAGTATATTGATATCTATCCAGGATCATTTGACAATGAACTATATAATAACACATTTAAAATTCGTAAATATCCGAAACAAAAAAAATACATACATGTATTCGGGGATTTCATAAATTTGAAATATAATCTGTGCTACATAAATAACATTTCGTTGTAATATTCTTACAGATTTTGATGTACAAAATGGGATGGTTGCTTGGTCATGTATGACAATTTTAACAGGAAAAGGTGAGCTAAATTTGGAGTAGAATCATAGCGAAAAAAACGTTTATTTAACAGTGAGAAGTCTAATCGTCCTTTCCACACATGAACGTGAACATTTTGTATACCAGTAAAGTTACTATTACAGCATCTGTGTCAATTTTCAAGGAGATTTGATCTGTTTCGGAATTTGAAGTTGACCACAACGTGTTTGGCGTCTAAATTGTCGATGCAGCTTTCCCAAGAATACAATGCTCGATGTCCTAGGGTAATCTCTGCTTCCCTATAAGAAAAAAACGCGCAATATACCTATAATAGATATGTAAGGACACTTTTACAGATTTCTTTATGTAAAAGTCTGTTTGTCCTACATTTTCATGCGTTTACACATAAGAAGTGGGCACGCCACACTTTCTGTATTTTTTTCAGTTATGTATTGAAATTTACAGGCTTATTTTTCTCTTAGGGAATTCCAATATAAATTTATCGGTATGGAAATATTTTAGAGTTATTCTTATAGCATATATTTCAGGATTTTGCAATTTTTATTCAAAACGCCGAGGAGTCATGTGCTCGAAGACAAAATTTTATTATTTTGCATTGCCCATTTGTTTTATTTATGTGTGACTTTTGCGATTGTATACTTTTCTCAAGAGATGCGTGGAGGAGTAAGAGGATAAAAAGACTGAAGAAGGGAAAGTTGGAAAAAGAACACGTGGTGAAGAAGAGACGCTTGAGTCAAGCGGATATTTGATGTAAACGAGTGCGCAAGTTGCAAGACGCGTTGATGACACTTTTGCAAGTAACGATTTCGTGATTCTGGTGGTAACACATAGGGTAAAGCAATTGCTTATACTTGAGTGTATGAATAAATAAGGCTAAGAAGAGGAAAAATTATTCTCCGTCCATCCGTTCATCATAACCAATATTTTTGTGTCCTTTATATTTTCCTTTCCTCTATTTATTCGCTATTAACAGGACTAAATTTAGTCATTGTTGAACTGAAGAAATGACAGCAATAAAGCGAAAAACTTGATAAAATTCATAGACATGAAAAAGATACCTTTGATATTGCCAAATTAAATTTCTGTATAAGCATATTATAATAAAAAATCAATTGCTTGACTATAACGATAATTACTTCTTAATTTTTCAAATAAAGATCAGCCGAAAGTTAATAGATCACAAATAGTATTTTTTTGTATAAGTCAATTTGAATCAGCATATGGATAATGAATAAGTATTGACATGTTATATTAGAAATAACCTTTTTATAGTCACATTTTT